AATTATCATTTTTATAAAACTGGTTGGCACATTATTGGCCCTCTTGTCTGCAAAGCTATCAAGTTTTTCTTCCTTAAAGGCTACCTTCCTAGTGGGATAAAAGCAACTGCCCTTGCCATTATTCCCAAACACCGCAATGCTACCTCCATTTTGGACTATAGGCCCATATCTTTGTGTAACACCCTTTATAAGATCATTGCTAAGGTAATTGCTGGTAGAATGAATCTTTTTATGCCTCTTATTGTTAAAGATACGCAAGCTGGTTTTGTGAAATCAAGAATTTCTACTGATAGTATACTGCTAGCCAATGATATTCTCTCTTTGGTCAATAAGAGAGGGGTTGGTAACATGTTCTGTGCAAAGATTGATATCAAAAAAGCCTTCGATTATATATCCAGGGAATTTTTGCTTGCTCGAATGATACAAAAAGGCTTCCCTATGTCTTTTATCAATTGGATAAAATCTTGTATTACTAATGTTAACTTTTCTGTTGTTATTGACGGTGCTTTGGAAGGCTTTTTGTCTACTCCTGCAGGGCTAAGGCAAGGGTACCCTTTAAGTCCTTACCTTTTCTGTCTGGTTATGTATGCTTTTTCAAATCTTCTTGATGTTAGAGGATTCAAAGGCTTTAAAGCTGATAACTTTCATCTTTCTCATCTTTTGTATGCGGATGATGTACTTATTTTTGGTGAAGCTACCATTGAGAATTTTAGAATTCTTTCTTCAATTCTCAATGATTTTGGCAATGCTTCGGGATTACACATAAAATTCGATAAAAGCTCAGTCATGTTTTCAAAAACTAGAGGAATCGGGATTTATTGTGCCAAGCTCTTTCCATTTTTAATATCAGCAGATCTTATCTTAAATTATATTGTCTTGTCTACCATCACTTACTGCTTAAATTATGTTCAATTTTTTCTATATATTTATAAATAGTTATGTAATTATTATAATATTTAAATATAATAAATATTTATTACGTCATCCAGTTTGACCCCAGTTCGACCCCGGTCGAACCATCGAACCACTAACCTCTTGTTCTTCGATTTTAATTTCATTGATTGTATATTTGATTTAAGATTGATTGAAGTTGATTTTATATTTTATTGTAAATTATTGTAGTTTAACCCTTAATGAAGGGTTGAATTTGATTAATCCTTATTTTGAGGTCAATTAATGTCAAATGAGGTAGATTTAATTCCTAGGATGTATGATGCCTCTAAGTTTGTTATATTTGAATTTCATCAGCTAAACGACTGATTCTACGTCATCAAGGCGCGGCGGTGGTGGTTGCTTCATGCGTGGTAGCTTCTTGTTGGACAGATCCAAGCAGCGGCGGTGGCGTCATTTACTGCAAATGATGATGCCATTGTCTACTAAGCAGCAGCAGCAGCACACAATTTTTACTTAATTCACGTCAGCGCTTGTTTATCGCTGTCTGATCAAGCAGGGTTTGAGATAAATTGCTATCATGCTATCGAATGGTGATTTAAACGACCAGCTAATCGAGATAGTTTGAACAGATGGCAAAATGATGCGATCTAATCCGTTCTTTGATAAATCAATGGCTCAGGAAATGTACAAATCATTTTTTTTGCTATTAAAACTAAGTGATGAAGCATGGATCAAATAAAAAATGACCGAACTAAATTCTATAAAATTTTAAACAGATATTAATTACCGCCAAATGAAGAATGGAAAATGGTTTTTGTGGTAACCCACAGAGGGCTTATGCTTTGATTAAAAAACCGGTTACAGGGTCGTTAAAGCGACCTCGAGCTCCCTAATCTCCAGGAAGCTACAAAAAAAGTCAAAATAAAACCTAAGAGCTCAAGGCCCCTACTAAGCACATGAACAAAATCCCCTAGATACATTCTAAGGAGGTTAGTAACCATAACCCAAAAATTTGAGAAGATCAAAAAATTGTCAATAAGCCCAATCTTCTCGTCCAAAAAATGTTAAGGCCAGAAAACCTACAGTATAAGCTACCTGCGAGAAAATAGTCACCAAAATAACATAAACAAAACTCACCTTGATACAGTTATCCAAAATTGACCAGAAAATCATATTAATCAGCCACGAGCAGTTGATAGAACCAAACCATTAGAAAAAATATGAGCAACCTTCTCTCATACATGTAATGTTAAAACCCAGCAGACCGTCACCAGCATAATTGAACTTATCACAAAAATCAGAGGGAGTAATATAGTTGTTCTTAAGATTATGAGAATAGGAAAAATTCTACCAAAACAAGCAATTGAAACTGTTAGCCTACAGCTCATTCATATTAATAATGTATTTTACCGTATTTATATTTTTACCTATATATGCTCTATATATACTCCTGTAATGTAATTTTGTACATAGGAAATATATTATTTTTCCCATTTCTAATCTTCCAGGTTTCCTGCTCTTCTTCCTGCTATCTCTTCTCCTTCTCTATCTCTCTGAGTTTCTTTCATGGTATCAAGAGCCAACTGATGGGGGATCAAGACTCTGTCAACTCCCACCCTCCCTCCTCTGTCAATCTCGCCGGCGAATATGATCTTGCTATCCCTCCGTCCTTGAAGTTCCTCATTTCGCACATCAAGAACCTTCTATCTAACGGTAGAAAACTATTCTATCTGGTGTCTCCAAATTCTTCAGCATTTCACGGCAAATGGCTTTGCCGGATATCTTACGGGCACCTCAACCCCGCCGACGGACACAACTTCCCACGACTACAAATGATGGGTTCTTGTGGACAGCAACCTAATTTCAGCCCTGTTTTCCACCATTTCTCCCCCTATCCTCCCTATGTTATCACCTCCACCACTGCACAAGAAATTTGGATGATTCTTGAAAGGCGCCTCCAACCAACAAGCAGATCTCGTGTGATACAGCTCAAAAATGAGCTCAATCACATTCAAAAGAAAGATCTAACGATGCAGCAATATCTCTCTCAAATAAAGCAACTCGTCGACACTATCGCTGCATCCGGCTCCAGCATTGATCCGGAAGATGTAGTCCTTTACATCCTCAATGGACTTCCATCCTCCTATAACTCTTTTAAAACTGCAATCAGAACCTCTTCCAATCCTGCCGATCTTGATCACTTATATTCACTCCTCTGTAGCGAGGAGTTGCACATCAATCAAGATCTGCTCAAAGAAAGCAACTCAGGATCGACTCTCACCGCCCTGCACACCACCTCCCACAATCAAAATCGCAACCGTAACTACAAACACCCAATCAAGAACTCCACCTCCACGTCCAGACCGCCAGCTCCAACGACAAACACCACTTCCAGCAATGGGTCTCGTCCAACGTGCTAGATTTGCGACAAAGTCGGACAGATAGCCATTAATTGTTGGCATCACTGCAACTTTAAATACGCTCCCACTGTTACCAATGGATACCGTGCCATGATTGCTTAACCCACGTCCTACGCATCGTAAGACTGGGTTCTTGACTTCGGTGCATCATCCCACTTAACACCAGATGATTCGAATCTATACAATCTGAATGCATATCAGGGAACGGATGCGTTATCGGTCGCCAATGGCTCCACATTACCAATCCAAAACTCCGGTCAAGGATTACTCCCCCTTCCAGACACTAATCGTAAGCTCCATTTGCATAATCTTTTACATGTACCTTCTCTCACCCACAATCTCCTCTCTTTCTCTAAACTCACAAAGGATAATCGCATTTCTATTACATTTGATGCTAATGGCTTTGATATTAAGGATATACAGGATCATCAAACGCTTCTTCGTGGACAACTTCGTAATGTTCTCTACTACATCCAGACGACGCCGGGCCTGCAACCCCGATCTCTTCAAACCAACGTCTCCTCCGCTCACCTTTGGCACATGTGGCTTGGGCATCCACATCACAGCATTCTTACTGTTCTTGCTAAAAGCTTACCTGATTTTACGAATGTTTCTTCTTCATTTCTTTGCAAACCTTGTAATATGGCCAAGAGCCACAAACTTAGTTTCAATATGAGTAATTCTGTTACTACAGTGCTCTTTGAACTCATTCATTCTGACGTCTGGGGTCCGGTTACCAAACCCTCAACAGACGGACACCGTTACTACGTCGTTTTCATTGACGATCATACTAGATTCTCTTGTATTTACTTAATGCATAATAAAAAAGAAACTTTCACAAAATTTAAACTCTTTTGCAGCTTACTACACAATCAGCACTCCGCCAAACCAAAAATCTTGCGCTCCGACGGCGGCGGAGAATTCACTAGCAACGCTTTTAAAACATATCTTCAAGACAATGGTATACTTCATCAACTTAGCTGTCCTCCTACACCGGAACAGAACGGGATGGCGGAGCGCAAACATCGCCATCTTCTTGAACTCACTCGCACGTTATTACTTCAGCCAAATTTTCCTTAGAAGTTTTCGGCCGAAGCGCTGTCTACCGCCAATTACTTATGAAATCGCCTACCATCTAAAACTACAGCCCTCCAGTCTCCGTTTCAGCTTCTTCATGGTAAATCTCCTCACTACAGGCACCTTCGCACCTTCGGATGCCTTTGCTACCCTTGGCTCAAGCCCTACACCAACAGCAAGCTCGATCCTCACTCGCAGAATTGCATATTCCTCGGCTACTCTCCGATCCACAAAAGCTATAAATGCCTAAATCCTCTAACCAATAAAACACACATTTCTCTCCATGTGTTGTTTTATGAAAATAGATTTCTTTACCCCATCAACAATCCCACACCAACCCATCACCACAGTAATACAACAACAAGAATTGCACCACTGTTACTGATCCCATCATCCATAGCCAGAAATCCTCCAGAACAATCCTCTCTTCCTGTCAATGCGCAACTCCAGCACATTCAGCAACACATACCAGATCCAATTCAATCGAATTCAAATGAACCCGACCTCTCTGCACCTCCTTCGGACCACATACCTCCATCCCGTCCCATCCATCCAATGCAAACTAAATCCAAGTCGGGTATAACCAAGGCAAATAGGGTCTTCACTCTCATGGCTACCACAAATTCATCACCAATTCCTAACACGTATCGTCAGGCCGCAAAGCATCCTCAATGGCAATCTGCTATGGAGACTGAATTCCAAGCTCTACAAAACCAAAACACCTGGACTCTGGTCCCCGCACCAACAAACAAACCGGTACTCAGTTGTAAGTGGACATTTCGAATCAAGCACAAACCCAACGGTCAAATTTACAAATACAAAGCTCGCCTTGTTTCCTTAGGCTACGACCAAAAGTTTGGGATCAATTACACTGAAACTTTTAGTCCGGTAGCGAAGATGCCCACTATCCAGATGCTTCTAACTCTCGCTCTACATCACCATTGGACCATTCAGCAGCTCGACATATCAAACGCCTTCCTTCATGGCGATCTATCGGAAGACATATAAATGCGCCAACCAACAGTTTTGCAAATTGCAATCAACCATCCTACGTTTGCAAGTTAAACAAGTCCTTATACTGTTTCAAGTAGGCACCGCGACAATGGTTCCAAAAACTCACCGGATTCCTCCAAACTCACGGTTTCAGGTTTAGTCACTCCGATCCTTCGTTATTACTTCATACTCACAACAATACTCATCATTATCTCCTAATCTACGTCGATGACATTCTTGTCACAGGTGACAATTCGGAGGCAATCCAAACACTTATCCGAGATATGCAAACTCAATTTGCTATGAAACAACTAGGCCAAATTGACTTCTTTCTCGGTATCCAGGTTCAGCACACAAAATCTGGCTACTTCCTTACACAAATCCACCATGCTACCAAATTGCTTCATGATAATGGATTTGCTGACTATAAAGCCGCACCCACTCCATTCAATCCAATCACCAAGAATTCGCAAAACAACATTCAACCTTTTGCGGATACATGCCTCTATCTCCGCCTCGCTGTATCACTTCAGTACCTCACTATAACCCGACCGGACATTGCCTACGCTACAAACCGCATATGCCAACATCTGCAACAACCAACTTGTCAAGACTACCAATATTTAAAAAGCCTACTAAGGTATATCAAAGGGACCCTCTCTCTCGGTCTACCCATCACCAAAGGAAAATTGATCTTGCAAACCTACACCGATGCCGACTGGGCAGCCAATCCAACCGACCGGAAATCAGTTTCCGTCTTCTGCACTTTTCTAGGCCCCAACTTAATTTCTTGGACAGTAAAGAAACAAATCACTGTGGCAAAGTCCTCCACAGAGGCTGAATATCGGGCACTCTCGGCAGCAACATCCAAAGTAATTTGGATCAGAAGACTAGTGGAAGAACTCCAGCTAGTTCAGTATTCTCCCACACCAATTCACTGCGATAACATCTCCGCTATTGCAATTGCCAAGAATCCTATTTTTCACGCCCGCACAAAGCATATTGAAATTGACTATCAGTTCATCAGTCAACATCTAACAGTCGGCAACATAGTTATTTAGCACATTCCATCTCAAGAACAAGTGGCAGACATTCTCACAAAATCGTTCTCCTCCGCTCGATTCAAAGAACTCCGTTCCAAATTAACCATTCGTTCCACCAATGATTAATTTGCGGGGCCATGTTAGCCTATAGCTCATTCATATTAATAATGTATTTTACCGTATTTACATTTTTACCTATATATGCTCTATATATAGACTCCTGTAATGTATTTTTGTACATAGGAAATATACTATTTTTCCCATTTCTAATCTTCCAGGTTTCCTGCTATTCTTCCCGCTTTCTCTTCTCCTTCTCTACCTCTCTGAGTTTCTTTCAGAAACAAGCAAATAAATTTAAAGCTATCCAACAGACTTTCCAACAATTAGCCAAATTAAAAAGCTTGCAGCCCCACAGCCAGGAGTATGTCCAGACAGTCAAAACCCACACATTCTAGAAATAAGTATAAGAAATGACACCACACAATAGAAAAATACACGACCAGCAAAAGATCTATGCAAAAATTAAATCTAGAAAACCTCAGACGAATATAAACAACAGACTCCAGCGTAAGCAAGGATAGCCGAAATCCACAAACAAGTATTAAGAGACCAACAAACCAAATAATAAGATTATAGAAGCAGAAATTGCAAACACCAAAAAAATAAAATACAGGATAAATAAAATAATCAGGATACAACATCCTGCTCAGGTGTGTAGTATCATATAAATCATGAAGCCATACCATCTGCCACTCAAATCTGATCCAAATCCAACCCAAAATGGGTAGAAAACAAGACCAAATACTGAGACAAAGATTTATACAATAGCTGCAACACCCAAAGAGAAAATGAAATTCATCCCCCACATAACCCACCAAACCTCAAACCAAGTTCACACAAGATAAAAAGCAGCTCCTGAGATATATATAAGGCTCAAAATTTCCAATTCTATTTGACTGGACCCAAATCTAAAGTAACTGATAGCCAGAAGGGTACAACTAGACAAAAGTCATAAATAATTGATAGCTACCCCTCCCACTCTAGCAAGGAAAAGGAAAAGATGACCAGCAGTTAATATAATGTCCATAAAGAAAAGGAGTCCAATCACTGCTATAGAAAACCGTATCCCTAACACCACAAACAATAAGAAGGAAGGATCTGGAATGCACAGACTCATCAAAAGCAACCACGAGGAGCGACTCATTCAAGGATGAAAACCAAAACCACAACCAGGCATAAACCCAAACACAGATTAATTTCTAACATAGAGGAAACCAAGTTTATAAAGTCTAATCATGCTTTTTAAATTGATCGACAAATCTGAATAGGATAAATCAATAAGAAACTACAAACCATGGCCATAATTAGCGAACCAGTCAGCACAGGCATTCCCTTCTCTATAAATGTGAGAAATATCCGCATTGGAAAAGATTAACAAATGCTTGATTTCCCTAATAAGATAAAATAACTCAGCATTGATCACCACTATCATTCAAATAGTGGAGACACTACACAGCATCAACCTCAATAAAAATGTTACAATTGCCAAGAGAAAGGCATAACTTCAAACCATAAAGAATAGCAGAAAGCTCTGAAAAAACAACAGAGCATCTATAAAGAGGATCAGCATAATCCATAATGAAATTACACTAGAAATCTCTAATGATATTACCAAAACCATAAGTATTGGTTTTGACATAACCATCACAATTCATATTAAAAGTATTGTAAGATGGTTTGTGCCAATGAACAATTTTCAATCCATCAGTAACATGCAAATCATTAAGGACAATCTCAAAATCTTTAGCAACGAAAGAAAACCCTCTAAAGTTTTTGCTTGACAAAAGCTTAGCATTGAAAAGATTCATAATCTTATTTTTAATATTCCTAATAATACGAAGGTGATCCATACCAATGCTATTGAAAAAAGAATTATTTCGACCAAACCAAATGTACCATAAAATGAGGAAAGGAATAAGATTCCTAATATGGCCACGAGAATTCGTAAGCCAAAGATTTAAAATATCCTTGATGCTAATATTACCACAAAAATGATTAAACTTGAAAATGTCATCAAAATAAATCATAATTTTATAGTCAATAGGACTAGAAATAAAGACATGATGCATGTTTTTCATATGATAGCAACATTGGCATTTAGAAGGTAAAATAAAACCCATTTAATTGACTTATCATATGTAGGAACATAATTATGTAACACTCTCCAAGTAAAAATAGTAATGGTAGTCGGGATACTTTTATGCCATAACATAGAAAAAATGTTAGAATGATTATTCTTAGTTTTAAAACCATTCCAAGCATCCTTAATGCTAAAGATGCTATTACTACACATGTTGTATAATATAATATAATCACCATCAATATTTAAAGGAATTTTCAAAATGATATTAATTAAAGGTGCAAGAACAACTTCAATGAGTTTAGAATAATCCCAATAATAATCAATAATAAAATAACTAACCTTGGTAGCCACAGAAGAAATAGAATTGATCGTCTGATCAATAGAGTTTTACCAAACCACTAATCCTGCCAAATTAAAAAGGTTGCCTCGACAAACACCCCATTTAATATGGAGTTTAGCATCTCATTTTATGTTGCAAAGTCTTCTCCAAACTCTAGAATCACCTTGCTTATAAGTACACAAGGTATGGTGTTTTCCCACACAGTATTTAGTAGTAATGAAATTAGCCCAAAGGCTAGACTTAGCATAAAAATTAAACCATAATTTGTTGGAAAAAGCATAAACTAAATCAACCATATTTTTACACCTGAGGGCACCTTCTTCAAGCACACCATAATAGTTACTCCAATTACTCCAAAGAATTTTTGAATTAGATCTATTACCTTTCCAAAACAATTTATTGAATAGTTTGATATATACATACATATATATATATATATATATATATTTATATATATATATTAATATATATTATATATAGAGAGAGAGAGAGAGAGAGAGAGGAGAAGAGAGAGAAAGAGAATAAAAACACTTTTGATCAAGATTAATCTCTCACCAAAACTTAAGAGGTTGAACTCTCAATAGTTAAGTCTATTATTCACATAGATGATTAAAACATCAAATAGGAAAGATGTTTTCGCCCCTTAAAAATAGGAACCCCAAGGTACTTTAAAGGCAAGAAACTTGGATAAAACCAGTGATATCTCTAACAACATTAATATGGGTAGCAGGCATATTTTTATTTTGTAATAAAGCAACACTTATTTTTATTCAGAGTAAGAATATTTTGTAATCTCAAAGTCATGTAGAAATTTGGTAACAACATTATTCATATTCAAAGAGCCACTGGAAAAAATAATAAAATCAGATAAAGGGAAAACCCTTAAAAGTTCTATAATTAAGATTAGGGTATATTTCATATAAATGAGTAAGACCCCTAGAAAGGTACTCAGCAGCAATAATAAAAAGAGTAGGGGAAAAAATTCATTACATTTACTATTGACGATAACATAAAAGAAAGAACCTTCAATACAGTTCTTGATCAACTTAATAAAATCAAAATTAAACATAAATAAATGTAAAATGGAATATAAGAAAGTCCAATTGCTGTTATCATAGGCTTTGGCAATATCAAGTTTAAAAATAATATTCCAACCTCTCACTTTAAGATCTAGATCATGCGTGAGCTCTTGAGCAAGTAAGATATTCTTAGTAATAGAACTACCATTAACAAAGCCAGTTTAATTAGGAAAAATCATTCTTGCAAAAAAAGGAGTTAGATGATTCAAGAAAATTTTGGATATAAGTTTACTGAAAAAGAAGCAAAGACTAATAGGAAAAAATTATCCCAAGTATTGAAACAAAACCTTTTTAGGTATCAGCACAATCAAGGTACTAGAAAATAATTTAGGAATAATGTTACAAGAAAAAAAATCCAAATCAGCATATAAATCCACACTAATCATGTTCCAAGTTTTTTGAAAAACGTTGGTAGTATAACCATCAGGACCAGCAACAGAATCAATATTCATAGAAAAAACCATTTTCTTAACTTCCTCCCGAGAAGGAGGGGCAGTTAAAGCATTGTTATCAGCCTCATTAAAGACAAAAGGAATGAAATCAGAGTAATTCACAGGGATAGGTTGGAAATTTTTAATAAATTTATTGCTGAAATGGTCCACTGCATATTTTAAAATAATCTCTTAATTATCAATATAAGTACCATCAAAAAGATAGATTTTGTGGATGAAATTCTTTGCTCTAATCTTCTTAACCAAATCATGAAAGTACTTAGTATTATTGTCTCCCACAACAATATGCTTATAGGCAGCTTTTTGTTTCCAATAAACTTCCTCTTTGTCTTGAAGCTTAAAGAAAGTGTTCTTCTCCTCCTGAAGACTCCTCAAATTATCATCACACGAGTCAAGTTGGCACTTAAGTTCCATAGCAATAACCTTTTCTTCAACATCTAAGATATTGAAAAATAAATTTTTAAGAACATTTCTATTCCACCAATTGATTTTATACTTAATCCTCTTGAATTTAAACCAAAGTCTATTCATACCCAAAATCAAATTATCAGGATACAAAGGGGCCTGCCGATTCTCCTGGATCATAGTTAAAAAATCGTCCTCTAAAAGACATATATTTTAAAATCTAAAATGGAATGAACAACCATTTTGCGTTGACATAATATCAATAAAAAGAGGAGAATGGTTCAAGAAAGTTTTACTAAGATGTTCCAGAAAGGTGTTATTGTTAGAATTAATCCATAGATCGATAAAAAGCAAGAAATCTAAGCGCTGCCACATATTACCACGATTCCAAGTAAAAGCATTACCAGAAAAACCATTATACGCAAGATTACAATATAAAATCATATTATTAAAATCCACCATAGACTGATAAGCAGGAATAGAACCACCACTTCCTTCAGCAGGGCTAGTAATAGTATTTAATCATGCCCCACAAACTATGGCATGTTAATATTATCATGAAAGGTAACAAGTTGATTCCACAATTTTTTTCTACTACC